CAGTGTCTGTATACACTGGTGTATGAATTTATGTGTGAATGGGTGAGTGGTTCCTTGATGTAAAATATTTTGAGTGCCTTTTGAGTGCATTTCATTGAATAATTACATTATGTGGACTATACACAGACTTCAAAACATGTCATAAGCTGGTACAAGAGGTTTTATGAAGTGTGTACATTTTTTTTTTTATCAATTTACTCCATGAGGATGGCCTCAAGTGTCATCACTTTAGCCTTAGCCAAATTGAGTAAAGTATATACTATATTAATTGATAAGCAAAATAATCATTGCAGCACTTTTTTGAAGATTCTTTATAAGATTATTAAATTATTAAAAATTGAGGATCATGGCTCTGTAGCGGACTGGCGAGTACGCCAGCTTCACAGCAAATCTTTGAACTTAATTCCCACTCAAGGCCAGTGTATGACTTTGCTGACATTCTGTCTTTGCACAGTTTTCCACTGGGTGTCTCTCCTCCATGGGGCCTCTCTGGCCACATAAAACACTCAGCCAAATACCAGTAAAATCTGTGCCTAGATACCCTACTTTTTAAGTTATGTCAGTTAGTTTCTTTAAAATGCTGTTTACTGTCAGATTTACAAGCAAAAGGTAGCATTTTGGTTGATTATTTGAATTTTCTTTAAGATTAAAATAAAAGTAAATGAACAATTATTACAGCAGAGCAATAGCAGTTGCTCTGCTGTCCCAAACAAATCTTTGCGCTTAATTCAAAGTGAAGGCCATTGTAGATTTTGCTAGGTTTTCCACTGGGTGGCTCTCCTCAGTGGGACTTTTCTGGCTACATAAAAAGGTCAGACAAATACTAGTAAAATAACTGAGAATGTGCCTAGAATCCCTTGCCACTGTTGCTAACGGTGTTTATCTCACCCCGAGTTTCATTTGGAGCAGTGAGCGCTGCTCTGTGCCCCTGTGAAAAGGCTGCCTGTGTAACAATCAGATTAGGCCTGGCTTTTGTGTGTGAGCTATTGATTTTGTGTACAGTTTGAGTTTGGTCTGGAGGACTCTGAGATGAGAGTGGCACCTAAAGGTCACTGCTGAAAAGCTGGGTTGCCATCGGAGACAGCGCGCCACCGGCTGAAGTGTTACAGACAGAGCCCCAGCCCCATTAGAAGCCAAACACATTTCACAGCTCGCCCGTTCATCCACTTCACCATGGCAACATCTCCAACACCTACTCATGTCCAACTTGTCTATGGACAGTATTACTCACAATGGACAGGTACAGCTGCATGTTACAATACAAATCACACAAATGTACAACAATAAAGTATAGTTTTCAAGTACAGATCAACCAACATGGGTTTTTTCATATTTTTCAATTCAGAGATGGCCAATAACGTACCTATTAGTAGATCCATGTGAATTTACAAACTCATCTACAACTGCTTTACTTCAAACTGGAGAGCAGACAACAGTGTGTAGTCATATTTTGTGCAGTACTCTTTTTGTACTAACATGTTCAAATAAAACTTTATTCTTATGCCAGCTGCTTGGCCCAAACAAAATATTATTTTCTGACGAATAGCCAATAACCAAAACACTAAAAGGACAAATACAAAATCCCCTGACGGTTGGAGTCTTTCTACACAAACGAGCGATACTGGAAGTTTGTGAAAGATTTATAAGTGTGTTCAGAGCCAAAGTAGAAATAATATTTAAAAAAAAAACACTTAATATCTAATATAAATAATAATAAATATTATATTAGCTGTAGAAAAATGTGACCATTTACCATTTACCATTTAATAGCCAATTTCAGGCAAGAATATTTGAGGACTATATGTGTTTTACCTTTTGAGTTTTATACTTGTATTTAGACATTTTGACTGGTCCTGCTGTAGTCTGTTAATCATACAAGCCGACAAAAGTGGGAGTGGGTCATTAGCCGACATTATGAGTCTGACCTCAGCCGTTTGACATGTGCAGAATCTATCGCCAGAAAGAGACGTTCAAAACCCATTTTAATTAAGTGTGACTGGTCTCGAAAGGCGAAAAGTGACCCTGCAACTCAAGGACACTCACACTCACAGCAGATGGCTTTTGCACTTGGCCGTCGTCTGGCCCAATCATCATTTTTATTTTAGGACCATTAAATCAGACCAAATTTGTTTTAGAATATGATTTTGAAAAAAACACCGCTTATGATAATATTTTTGCTCTTTTTGAATGAAGGAGCCTATATTGTGAGAAAGAACAGGATATTTTTAAGATTGTTAGCAATTTTGATGCAATTCACTTTTATTTACCGGTACATTGTCTTATGTGTATGTGGCCAGTTGAATGAAATTTAATAAAGTTAAAGGGACATTTCTGAATTTTGGACATAGGGCCTCATTTCCTAGTGAGCCAGAGTGTTGGAGATGTGTGGAGTGCTTGTCAATGGCCATAGTTAGCCTGCCACTAAAAACAGTCTTACCCACTCCACAAAGCACCTGAAGCAAAACAATTATAAGACCAGACTGTTGATGTGAATGTCTGTGTTTATAAAATAATATTTGAAATAAAACTAACCTTGTATCGCATGAATCGTCGCATGTTGAGGGACTATTTTCTCATATATCAGTCCGCTGCTGCCAAGCTTTCTATCAGGAAGTACAACTCAGTGCTGCTGCTCAGATATAATTCCTTCAAATGCAAGGTTGGTTTTACTTTTTAAAATTATTCTATCGACAGAGACATTTACTTTGCCAGTCTGGCATAATAATTTAATAATAAAGATTTGCCTTGGGTGCTTTGTGGAGTGGGTGAAACAGTTTTTAGTGGCACGCTAGCTATGGCCGTTAACATGCGCTAGCCTAGCACCAGCGACCTCTGCAAATACAAGGACTGGACTGGAATATTTATTTAGTGTGTGTTAAAGTGTCTCCACACGTCTCCAACACTCTGGCTCACTAGGAAATGATGTCCACAATTCTGAACTGTCCCTTTAATGTGAAATCAGATAAAAACACATTATGTTCAGGTTTACTATTTTGCCGTATAGATTGACTTGTCTAAACTTTGACTAAACTTTGCTTCTAAATTTCTACTTAAAGGTGCATTGTGTAACTTTTCTGGTAGAGGGCCCGACAAATGCTTTTCTCTATGGAGATGTTATTGCTTTGTCTGGAATGTTTCACAGTATGGTATTAAACCTTTCTGTCTTCATTGAGACCAAACCAAACCAAATTACAAATCAGATCTGTGGAGGTGTTTTAGGTATTTTTGAGCAATAAAACCACGTGCAATTGAATAAATGTAAGGTAGAGCTGTTTAAAGTCATACTGTGGAACATTCCAGGCAGACCAATGATATCTCCATAGAAACAAGTAGGTGACGGACCCCGAAACAAAAAGTTACATAGTGCACCGTTAACCGAATAATCTTAAAAAAAAAAAAATAATGGTTCAGATTTATTAAATATAGCACCTTTTTGGACACTCAAAGACGCTTAAGTAATTAAATAATCTTAACATTTAAAGTTTTATATTACAGTATTATATAACCAAACATTGCACTTTAGTTTTTATGTGCACCTGTAGCTTCAAATTGTGAACTTCTAAAAGTCAAATTTTAAAGTGACACAAATCTGTACCCCAGATAACTTAAGCATAACTTTACTTTCAGATATTTTCTGCTTCCTTGGTATTTGCTTTTATTTTGCCGCCACACCAGGCTTGTTTTGATGGGACCATATGCTCCTGTATCCCCCAGGTCCCAGGTGCGCTGTGCAGTGTTTGCTAACTTTCAGACTGTTTGTGTGGCTGGAGGTGTTTATTTGACCATCAAGTCCAAAGTTTGAACTGTCTGCTGCAAAACTTTATCAAGATGTGAGCCCCGTGCCCTCCAGATTTGACATTTATTCATTATTGCTTTGATTACTGACATTTATTTTAATTAATTATCAAGGAAAATATAAGCCAAACATGCTATTTCAAAAACTTGCCTTTTTCTGCTCTGGGCTACTCTGGATGTTTATTATTCATGAGATCAGCTGCTGGTTTAATTTATCCATTCATCCAAGGGAGGATACACAAATTAAATCATACATTTAATTGGATAGTAATTTAAAGAAATAAATTAACAAAATATACAATTAAAGATAGAAAATGAAAAGCACTACGAAATGTGGTGCACCAGAGAGTATTATATAATTTTGTGTCATAAAATAAGGCTGGGAACGTTTTTATTATCTGTCTTGGTACTGGTACGTGAACGTTACGTGGCTTGCTTATACAGTAGTACTAGTGTTTACTACGAAAATACTTTGATACTGGTAGTGCCTTTTATTTCCTTGATTTCTCTGCTAGATAAATCACAGAAGAATCAAAATCACAATATCAATGGACGTAATTAGTAAATCGTAAAGGCTGCAATTAGCCATAACAAGTACCATAAATTCCTCCATAAACAACAAAATAGCTATTCTGCATAAGAACAGATAACTCTGTAGTTCATATTTGTGGAAACATGTTCTGAAATGTGACTCTTGTATTATTTTGTCAGATCAGTCTTTTCAGTCTTTTCTAAGTTTTCTCATCACAAACATACCTGGAGTTGTGTTTTGTTTAACACATAAACCCTGCATATTTAGGATGAGCTCTTCTCTAAAAATTACAACACAACAACTAAACTTGATACACCTTCATTAGATATGTCATTCTCCAGTAAAGTTAAATGGTAGCTGCTAACTTGAAACTACCTCTACTTGACATCTCAAGGTAGAACAGAGCATTTGGAGCTTTAGAGATGTAGACTGAGTAATAATAAAGCATTATTCAAACATCTGAGAATGCAACAAAACATAACTCCAGGTATGTTTTTGAGAAGGTAACAGCACTGTAACATGGCTTGAACATCAATAATATAGAAAATTTTAAATATAACTATAGCAAATCTATCTAATTCCAGTTGCAATGTATGTCAAAGTCACAATTACGTATCTTTCTCAAATTGTTCAGTCCTATTACTCATTACTTTTCTGTCTTCATTATCCACAGGAGGAGGAGTTGAGGAAAAGCGGAGAGGCAAAATACGCTCATTTAAATAACGACCTTCATGTTTTAATTGAAGTCTTCGCTCCACCCGGAGAGGCCTACTCCCGCATGAGCCACGCCCTGGAGGAGATCAAGAAGTTCCTGGTTCCAGTAAGTACACCTTTTGTGCTTCTCTCCACACTTCCCTTTGTGCACAGTGCAAACAGGAAAAATCTATAGGGCTTTATTATAGTGAGGCAAACAATACTAGCTGTTTTTCACCAATGTGCAGACCATGCATTACCTCTCACCTCGCGCTGATCCCTGGATTATAATGTGTATTTCCCACCCAGGAGTTTTTCTATGCTTTTCACTCCACTGCTGCTCTTGTTTTTGGACCTTTGGCTTTGGCGCTGTAGTGTGCAGTACTCCCTCCTGTAAGCTTTGTTTGTTTGTTCTTTTCCCTCTAAATCCGATGTGCTGTTTGAGTGTGATGCTGCTGCACTGGTCAGAGGTGGAACAAGTAATCTGTACTTTAAAAAGTACTGATACTGCCTTGGTAACCCTGCTGTCCATGGTTATCAGAGTGAGGAGAGAGTGGAACAGCTCAAAATGTTGTTGCTTTTGAAGGGACAAAAATGTTCAAAAAGTCTTTAAAAAATGTAATGAAGTGACTGCTGAAACCCAGGCATAGTACAACTACTTCAAATTACTGCCATATTTAGTTATAAAACACATGGCTGCTGCCCCCATACTTAGTCTTGTTTAGACAAATTGGGGATACACGATAATAATCTAATCTTGATATTTTCTCTTCATTTCTTAAAAATGAACCAAAGTGAATATATATATATATATATATATATATATATATATATATATATATATATAATATAATATAAGTGAAGAAAAAAGATAGAAAGCGAAGTAGTTAATGTGTGTATTTGATAATTTCTGGCTTGAATATCAAATATGAATTTGTTAACATATAAGAAAATTTGTGAAAGTGATTTCCTCCACTCCACAGGCCGTCGTTACAAAGAGAGCCTTAATATATTCAGCAATTAAAGTGCAGTATAGAGGAGCAACTTGGATAACTCCCGCTCCAACTTGGAGCCCGGAGAAGTTAGCAATAATTAATGTGCGTGTTGTGTACTCTGGCTGAGCCTAAGCTGTAAATATTAATCAAGGTTTGCAAATGTGACAGGCTTAATACAGAGTGCTGCTGTAAGACTTGTGCTCACAAATCAATGTTTGCATGTTTTCTCATCAGATCTGGACCAGTGTGTGCTGTACAATTAAAACTGTGTCAAAAAGGCCAGTGGAGAAAAATGTGTGTGACCTTTTTATGCTTCAGAAAACTCCTGCTAATGATCACCCAGAAAAACAGTCTGTTTTAATAAGCAAAAGCAGATTTCTGCTCACACCGAATATTCCACTGTGCTTAGATCTCCAGCCTCTCCAACTTATAAGTACACGGTCACCAGGTACATGTCATTCTACTTTAGATAGATCTATGGAATGAAAATGAATAATGAGAAGTCATTCAGACCCAAATAAATTGGCCAGTTGCTGCACATTGTGAGCTGTACAGATTCAATCTTTTTCCTCCTGATGGATAAAACAATGTGAAAATATCTGTGTAGATCATGCCAAATAGCTGGTGTCATTTAAAGGTCCTATAAATTGACTCTTGTGAGCTTTAAGTGTGTTAGAATGTTGTTACTTCCTCAAAAACATACCTGGAGTTGTGTTTGGTTTCATTCACACACAGTTTGAGTAATCCTGCATTATTTCCAATGCTCAAAATGCTCTGTTCCATCTTGTGATGTCATATAGTGGTAGTATTCAAGTTCACAGCTATCTTTTACCTTTAGTTAAGTAGAGTGTAGTGAAGGCGTTTGGAGTTTAAAATCACAGTGGAGCACTGCCTGTATTACCACATGACATCACAAGTTGGAACAGAGTGTTTTCTGTTTGTGAGAAGAACTAAATATGCAAGGTTTGTGTGTAAACATGTATAAATGAAATAAAACACAACTCCAGGTATGTTTATGTTGAGGAAATATAGTGTAATATAGGCCTTTAAACTTTCTCTTTTGAACATTTTTAATCTATTTAGATTCTAATTACAAATATATATAAGTATACAGTTAGCAAGAAGCAGCCTATTTGTTGTTAGCAAATGCAATGCGCATTTTAGTTTAGTTTGACTGAAGAGCACACCTTGAAAGTTAAAAATAGAGGACACATTTCGCCGTCTATCTCTTTGCTCTGTAATCCGTCCACACAAACATAAACACATCAGAAGTACCCTGAAACACCTTACCTTTTCCTTTTTATAGTTCAAACCTGCTGGTGGCGTGATGTTATGGATTTGCTGTGAAACGGCGCATCATAAACGCACCAGGCATCTGTCCGTATCCATAGTGACAGATGCTGCTGCCTCTGGCTCCACAAACCAAAGTCCTGCTGTTTGCCTTGTTTTAATGCAGTACTGTGTGTCTAATGGGCACATCCAGCAGAGACCACAATCACAGGGAAGTGCACGGGGGATGGGGTCTTATGAGGTTTTTAGCATTGTGTTATCCCCCCCATTGTAGGACAAATTTTATCTTTTTACACTGTTTGTACCTTTTTACATTTTTTACCATACTTTATTTTTTAAGTTAAAAAAAAAACAAAAAAAAAAACTTCAGAAACAATTAAGTAAGGAAGTAAGTAAATAAATAAAAATAGATAATGATAGCAATAAGAGGGTCTAATTCTGGGCCCCTAAGACACTGGCTCTGGGACAACAGACTCCTTTGTCCCCCCTGTTGACTCCCCTGGTTATTACCTGCTTATACATGCACATACACATACACATACACACATACACATACACATACACCTACACATACACACACATCTTTTACACACATATACACCTCTATTCATACATTCAAGGTTCTATTTATACCATGTTTGTTTTTTGTTTTTTTTGTTTTTTACTGACCTATCTCCAAGGACATAAGTAGGTGACACTTTGATTGTGTTTATTTTGCCATGTCCAAACATTGAACTAATGGGGGAGAAGAAAACTTGAAAACAAAGAAAGAAAAATGCATCAAAAGATTAATGAATAATCCATTTCAGGCTGCACACATTGACAAGATTAACCTATTATTGAGTTCATTCTTCAATTTCAATTTAAAATAGAGTAACCAAAACTTTTTCTGAAATAATGAGATAATGAGTGAACATTATGGATGTGTGTAACGTACAGAAAGGAGACTGAGTTATGAATATGCAAGAAAACAGCTGCTGCAGATGTAGTGCCTCAGGCCAGTGCTTGTATCATACGGTCTGAAGGCCAGTGCAATAATTCATCTACTAGAACCACAAAACTTTTCCTCATTACAGAGATCTAGGACTGAATCCATTTGAATAGAGAGGGGTAGAGAGAGGTAGTCACAAAAGAACAAAAACCTCCAAAATATATAATAATATAACAAAATATATAGTTCTGCACAGTATCTTTGTTGTTCCTAGTACTGCACTTTTCTGGACTGAGATGTCTGATTTTTCCTGGGATCTGCTGTAACCACTTCTCCAGTTTGGGGGTTACAGGTTGGTTCACCATCACCATTCTGTCAGTCTGTATCTGGAAGTCCCACAGGATCTTGGCTAGATCATTCTCCACAGCCTTTGGAGGTGTTTCCCACCTTGACCTTGGGGTCTCCAGCCCGTACTCTGCACAGATGTTTCTGTTATTTTGCTCTACGTATGCTTTCCCTGCCAGCATCATACACCCTGTAGTTATGTGCTGGGCTGTCTCTTCGCACAGCCTACACCTTGGGTCTTGTCTGGTGTGGTAGGTCTGGGCCTCTAGTGCTCGGGTGCTCAAGGCCTGCTCCTGTGAGCCAGGATTTCTTGATATGAGCTACTTGTGTTATATTCCAGTGGTACACCACATGTAGGGGCTTGTCCTGCCGTGATGGTGCCTCCAGCACCTCTTCCTCTGCACTCCTCTGTCTGAGACATTCTCTGAGCAGGTGATCTGTCGGGGCCTTGTCCTTGATGTACTCAAGGAGCTTGGATGTTTCATCCTGGACAGTGGTTCCCATAGTAGTCCTCGGCCTCCTTCCTTCTGGCTCACGTACAGTTTCAGGGTGCCAGATTCGGGATGGAACCCTTCATGCATGGACAGGAGCTTTTGTGTCTTAACTCTGTAGTCTGTATCTCCTCCCTTGCACAGCTTATGATTCCTGTTGGGTATCTGATCACTGGCAGAGCGTAGCTGTTTATTGCCTGGGCCTTGTTCTTGCCATTGAGCAGGCTTCTTAGGACTGGCCTCACCCGTTCCAGGTATTTGGTCGTAGCCACTTTCCTTGTTGCTTCTTCAAGGTTGCCATTTGCTTGTGGGATACCAAGGTACTTGTAACTGTTCTCAATGTCTGCTCTTGTTCCCTCTGTGGGTGAGACTCCCTTTATGTGGGCTACTAAACACACAGACACTTTTGGTAACTGACAACAAATACAATACAGTCAAATACATCATATTAAAGAAACAGTAAAATGCATTGTGATCCTGCTGTTCAAGATCTTGTGTTTTGTTGAACTGCTATTAGCATAAATACGGTTTAGTTAGCAAGACCAACTTTATTGGACAATAACTGAAATTGAAAGTCAAGTAATCTCAAATAAAGAAATACTCTAGATTTTCTTCAACAAACCTGGCCTAAATGGAATATAATATAATATTGTTCCTTTAATCAAATGCATGAATTATTTATTAATATCGTATAAAACTAAGCACAAACATAACTACTGCCTGTGTAGGTCAGGAGATGTGTGATATTGACCCTTTCACACAATTATTAGCTGATGGGACCTCCAGTGTGCAGCAGGCCACAGCCCATCAGCTCCTGTCCCACTGACAAACAGAGGGGCAGGGGCCTTCAGAGGGCCTTATCTCTGCCCCTGTTACACCTAGGCCTTTACGGGTGTCAATATTTGTCATGTGTACATTTTAACTCTGTTCCTCTTACACCAGTGTCCATCTCCACCTTTACAGACTTAGACAAATGTTATTGATCCACAAGGGAAATTATTTGGACACAGTACCTCACACATCACAATATATTTTAATAACAAAGAGCAAATATAAATAATACATTCAAAATAAGTAGCACAAATATATCTCAGCTATACAAGAGGTCATAAGGAGAAACAGTGCAAAGATGAGATAATAATTTTACAGAGGGCCAGATGCCTTCAGAGGGCATTATCTCTGCTCCTGTTACTCTAATGTGGATTTCCACCTTTTCAGCCCGTGTGCATTTGTTGTTGTGGGATAAGCTGACACCAGATTTTCCAATTAAATCTCTGCTTTGTCTTCCTCCGCTCAACAGAATGCTGGAGATGGCACTCATTTATTAAACAGAGAAGCACATGTGCACTCAGAGTCATATGTTGTGGAAATGAGCCCATTTTTCTCTCTCACGACACAAAGCTGTCAAAATCTGCATCAGAATCTGCTCATCACTCCCCTATGTGGCACCTGCTATAACACCAGCAATGTGACAAAGAAGTGAGGCCAGATACACGCTCGGTTTGTCATGTGGGGCTACACAATTAGAAAGACCTGAGAATAAACAAGTTTGAACGAGAATCAGAATATGCTTTAGTTTCCTGCCTCTTAAGTCTTTCTGTGGGGTTCTTATGAGCACATTGTCATGATTTCATCTTTACATTGTTTCTCCTTATGGCCTCTTGTACTGTATATAACTGAGATATATTTATGTAACTATATTTATATATGTTATTTTTACTTGTACATATACATTTATAAAATTGTGCCTTATTGACACCAGTCTCTTGCTATATTTGCTTCTTCGTTTTAATTTATTATTACCATTTACATTGTTGTTCTTTGTTATTATAATACATTGTGACGTGTGAGCTACTGTGTCCAAATAATTTCCCTTGTGAATGAATGAAGTTTGTCTAAGTCTAAGTCTATAGTGCAGGTTTCTCTAGTCTATTGTTTTGGTTGAATACAAAGATGGTAAGTCTCCCAAGCATCTGGCATCGTCCCTTTGTAAATGAACAAAGTTGGCAGCTTAATGGCAACACCTGACATTAAGCTCACAACCAGAAGGCACTTTTGTTAAATTTGTTTGTTAATGCACTTAGCAAATTGCAAAGGTTACAGTTTTGGAAGTACCATCATTTCCTCCACAAACAGCAAAATATTCAGTAACTCTTTAAAACAAGTACACTTTATTTAACCTTTATAAAGCATGATCAAAGACTTAATTCATAATGAACAAACAATTAATTAAGAATCATTCAGGCTTAGTAACTACTTAATTACTACCTTTAATAGCACTTAACTGGCAATTTATTGGCATTGGCTGTATATATTTACTCATAATTATTTCATACTTAATTACCATAATGTATTTTTACACATATATTTAAGTACCAATTTTAACATTTATTAATGATTTGTAAGCTATGAGAGAAGGATTTACTAATACTGCAATGCAATGATAATTCAGGCAGCTATTGTCTGTTGGTTAAGTCCTTTTGAGAGACAAGACTAATTCTGCTTTAATAAGTATTTGTTAAGGTTTGCCAAATACCATATATTCTGCTTTGTTTTGCATAAAAACGGCTAACCTTGTACTTTTGAGCTATACAAATGTCATTCTTGTATATTTATTTATCAGTTCATATTTTAATATTTTTATCAATTCTTCTGGACAAGTTTAAAATGTAAACTTTGAACAGAATCCTATAATGAAAACATAAAGCAAATCAAATCACAATCATAGTTTGATATTTTCTCAGATTCTTCAGCCCTGTCATTAACTTTGCTGGTGCTATATTATCTGATACAACAGCTTATTATTTGAGTGAAGTCAGCTCTTTTCTTCCCCTGTGACTCAACTTACAAAGTCACTCTCGCTAAGGCCAAAAATAAATCTTGAAAAGAAAGACCAGTCCAAGGCAGAGACAGTTGAGAAATGAGACGCTGCCTCTCCCATGTTGTTGATAGTGAAGGCTCTTGTCTATTGGGCTCCCATCAGTGTCTTCGAGAAATACGACTGTTTATTTGTCAGTAAGAGACAAGATAACTAACGCTGCTTTGTCCAGTGTTTATCTGTAGAGTAATGATCCATATCTTGTTTGGTGAATGTGAGGAATACTTCACTGTTGTATTGTACACACTTGTTTCAAATGGCTGCGATTGTTGGACCTGGCAGGGGGAGTAAAAATGCTTTATAGTGAGTCTTAAAGTTTTATTAGATGCCCTACAGGTCTAAGTGAACAATATGATTTGATTAGATGTATTGATGTTGCGCTCGTGCAACATCTGTCTTTTACAAGGCAATTGAAAATAAAAAACTGCTTGTTATTGTATAAGCAAATGAAAAGTGCCTCGAGCATCGAGGCTGTGGGTCTCAATGCAAATCTTCTTGTGTTACTGTGACTATATGTCTGACTAGTCTGTCTTTCTCTCACTCTCACTAGATAAATATGATTTCATATCTGTAAATTGGCCCATAACTAGAAATAATTTTTCACAGAATGACCACCTAAAACCCAGGGCGAGCGATTTGGATGAAAATTATATTTTTATATTTTTGGAGTATCTCAATACAATATTCATACTTTTTACCTTAATGACTGATATGGGTTTTTTCATGGCTGATGCCGATTGTCTAGAATTCAGAAGTACGGATGGCCCAATAAACTCTGATTTTGGGCCATTTTTGATGATTTTTTCCAAAATATGTAATTTAAATGTACTACAAGCTCTCCGGAAGGCTTTTTTTTCACAAACCTATAAGGGAGATGTGTATTCATATTTTGTGCAGCTATCTCTATCTTTCTCTTCATGTTAAAGTGTTAATATAAAGCTTTGTGTGTATTTTTAGGCAGCAGGTTGATCCAAACAAAACATAAATTTTGTTTTTGATACTGTGCCCTCATCTGTAGGCAAAAACAGTGCTTTGGCTCACTTCTGTCCTTTCCCTGTACCCTTTGGCATACTCTTCATTACAGGATGCTGTGTCCCTCTGTGTGTTTGGAGATAATTTTGATTTGATGACATTTGCTGCTGCCTGAGCATCTGCTGTATTAGGAGACAAATGTTGCGTTGTGTTTCTCATGGCACAGACTGCGCTGTTTGTCTCCCACAGGACTACAACGACGAGATCAGGCAGGAGCAGCTGAGAGAGCTGTCCCTACTCAACGGCTCCGAGGAGAGCAGAGGGAGGGGCGGGCAGAGCCGAAGCACGAGGCCAGCAGCCACAGCCGCAAGCAGGTAAAACACACACTCAACTTAAAACTGTCTGCTAGTCTGAAGGTACTGTTCAAGTTATTACTGTTCAAGGAAACACATTACACAGAATCAACTTTTATGAGTTTTCAACCGTGTTACAATGTTTTTGTCTCATCATTAGCCTGCTCATAGTTGTATTTAATTGATTTGTGCTTATTTAAGTAATCTTACATTGTTTTGCATTTGAGGCATGAGTACTCAGAAAATCTCAGTTTTCATCTGCCCCTATCCCCACCCACATCCCTGTACTTAGTTGTGATTATTTCAAAGTTCTGCAATTGCAAGTCACTGTTGTTATTTCTCTAAGCAGTTTCAGATGTTGCATTTTCCAATGAACAAAATGTTAAATGGTGATCTTGAACTTTTATGTCTAGTACCAGAAGAAATGAATAATAATTTCTCTTTAAAATGCTCTTATCACTCAAGACAGTGATTCTCAAACTGTGTTACCCTGCTGGTGGTATGGGAGCTTCATTTGGCCCTCTGTAGTGCTAGACAACTGAAATTACATGTCAGTCCTCACCTAGCTTTTTCTTTTTTTTAGTTTAGAGCCTTAGACTAGGTTCAGACCTTGTTTAGACTTGGTTCTCATGGTTTCTGAAATGTCAAATATTTTCTTAGGTAGTGCCTTAGTGTAAATCATTGATACATTCAGTGACTTGAATGCCTGATTTAGAATAACAAATCTTTACCCAGAATTTTGAGTCACAAGCTGTGTAACCCTCTGTACCTGTCCCAAGGATATGGAATATAATAATATAATAGGAATATAATGGCAAGATGCTTTGTATGGGTGTCCTGGTATAGAAAGACATAAAAACAGAAACAACTCTTTAGCTCATGTTGAAATAGAATTCCAGTATTCTGAAGAGGTCTAAAATAGTATCACCAGCAGATATGATAGCTACTGATATTATTATTACGGAAAATCATGTTACATTTGGTTTTAACAAATGTACTAAGACTATAATTGACATTTGAAGAAATATTCAGAGTAGCAGTGGAACGAAATTTGGGCAGTTACAGTATTAACACAGATAAGAGCAGAAAAGGGACAGAAAAATAAATTGTCAGAGCTGCTGGTGTGAAAACCATTTTCCTCCAGCAGCTTTTTAAGTGATTTTTTTTTTACCTGAGCTTGGGTGGTCTCACAGGAATAAGCAAGCACAGCCCGCCACAGCAGCATGGCCTAATTCAGACATTGGATGTAGATGAGCTAAATCCAGCCTCAACATGGGACTGCTCACTTTTAAAGGCACCATCTTTTTAATGCTTAGACTTCCTCTTATGATAAAGCCCCACTGGAACAGGCATCAGTAGTTTGTCAATGTATTTTTGGATTATAGAGGACATTTAAGGGACATTTAAGGGTACATTTTCAAAAATATCTGTGATTATGTTTTGCTTTACCTTAAATGCATGCAGTGTTTATAAACAATTTTGTAAGTTGGTGTAGTACCATTTATTAGCATTTGTGCTCTTAAAATCTGACTTTAGATACTCAAAAACATTGTAGTGTCACAATAGAAACACACAATTTTTTTGACTTGTGACTGTTTCATGCTCAGCTGAAGAGTCTTGTAGTAGTAGTAGTAGTAGTAGTAGTAGTAGTAGTAGTAGTAGTAGTAGTAGTAGTATTTAGTATTGTTTAGATGAGCTGGTCAGACAGGTAAGAGTTTATGTTATGACTAAGCAATGAAAACGTGAGGTTGCCATACAAAAAACATAATTAAAAAATATATATTTTAAAATGTATTTATAAATACATTATTTATCATTAATCCAACAGGTGTTTTGAGTATTCTATTTATTACATGTTGTATGTTAATGTTGGTGTACAGATTAAATATGTACATGTTTTAAAATTCCCCAATAACAAAACAAATGAAAAAACACAGTCAAAATGAAACATCAGGGAACTGTCTTGCCCTTCGACATGTTTAATTCTTAAATCTGCCTTCTTTCAAAAATTTCTTCTGAAAACTTTTTAGCATTAGCCTCCTTGAAGCCTCCCTGCCAGTTTTATTTTGCAGCTCCCACAGCAGTACAATCCCGTCACAGAACAGTTGAATGTTTCTTAAGTGGACAACTTAACAATTGTCATAACAGTGAAGACAAGCCCGTCGCCTTAGAACTGCTCCAGGCATAAGGAGATGTGATTTTGTAACTGCAGCAATGTTCAGCTTTTCTGTCTTTTACCAAAAACAGGCTGTGTCTCAGGAGCCTTCACTAAAAGATACAGACATTTTAAGACATTGGATCTTTTTGCAATATAGTTACAGAATGCATGGGCCTGTCAATATAATTACTATTTCAACTTATTTTTCAATAAATTACATTTGTTTATTTCATTTTTTGTTTGTTTGTAAATAAGATTTAAGCAGTAGAGGGTTGCATAAGTAATTCTATGACTCATTATTGTATACAGTATATAGAGTATTTCATTCTGCTTATGTTTTTAATTATATTGTACATTCAGAAAATTATATATTGGGATTAAAGTAGTATTAGTGGCATAAAGTAGTTCCAATATTATCGTTTACCATTCATCATGCAAATGTATTATACAGATTTGTTATCATAACATTTATCGCACTTACACAAGCTTCATTCAGTCTACGCTCCACACTTCTGTCACTAGGCCTAACTGACTTTCATGTCTGATGTGTTGCCAGGGGCCACAGAGGCACAACGAGGAACTCTGTCGCCCCCCGGGCCACGACAGCAGCATCGCACACCAAACCCCCCACAGCTGTTGTATCCAGAGACGCACAACCTCCAAGACCCAGGGGGGCAACAGCGAGCAACGCATACAGACCGCCTCTAATACCAGCTACGCACGAAGCATATGACGATTACGTGAGTTAATTTTTCTTCACTAACAAAGTATGAATGAAGCAATGTTTAAAATACCGTAACTATAAAGCTGTCGTCATAGAGATGCTTGCCGGCTGAGCTGAATAGCACAGAAATGTAATGTCTAGTCAGGGTGAATTAACAATCTACTGTGGTCTTCAAGGTGAATGAGCCTTTGTGAATGAATTGAAACAAATTACTGTTTCAAGAGCCACTGCTGAAGTTCATTTGAGCAAGGCATTAATTGGATGGGTTAAATCTTTAGCAGCAAGAACAAATCAGTAGTGTATCAGTGTTAGAGAAGGCAAGTAGTATCAACTTTGTGACATATATAGTAATATATAAATTTAAGTTTTAAGCTTATCCATGAATTTCTAAGTGATGACAAAAAAGATGACTGTTGCCATAGCAATTAATAATTCAAAACAAAAAATTCAAAGTTTTAACAAGAAGCTGAAATCCATGAACCAGCATAAATAATAGAAATATTTAAGTTAGTAAGTAGAAGGCTGAAACTCTGCTCTGTTATAACATTCCCTCATCAAAAACATACCTACTGTGGGTTTATATGTGATCAATGCATTTAGTGATCTCTTCCAGGCACTATGTGAACCCTCCTAGCTGTTAACAAGGCTCAGCCCACAAGCCTACATAACCCTACATAACCCATGCTCCTGCACAGCCATTTTTCATAAATATACAGTACAATACACTTCACAAACCTGATTCGATGTGCAGTGGTTTCATTAGTGGGATGCACGCTGATTGTGTTGTGATAGCGTTTTGAAGGGGGAGTAAGCAAAGAAAGGGGGGACACAGAGTGCCTAAAGCAAAACAGAAACATTTTAATACGCTGTAAATTTTGCATTTTCAAAACAATAAAAACACTGCAATGTGTAAATTTTGTGTTTTGGATGAAAACATGTCTATAAATATACTCATCAGGATGTTATCAAGTGGCTGCATTTCAGCTTTATTTGGGTCAGATTTCACAATCTAAACCACTAATCCACTAATCAAAAGAATATTCAGTCCATTAACCAATTAGCAAAATAATTGTTTTTTGAAGCCTTATTATTTTGTATCGTCCACTTTAAATATAAAGCTATAGATCTGCGATGTCTTTTGGTGTGTGCTCAGATCTCAGCAGAATTGAGTATATGTTCGATGACGAGTTTTGTAATAATAATTTTATCCTGTTTATTTGGACACTTTAAATGTCGCTTGTAATTACAGCCTGAGAAATGTCCCAGCATAATGCCTAATAACAGAGATATGGAGCGGGCAGTGGGTGGCTGCAGTCAGAAGGGCGAGTATTAAGTGTTACTTGTGGAGTGCATCGTTGAGTGGGCTCAATGTACAGGCGCTTATGAACTCTGACCCCTGTCGAGGAGTGTGTTTACTAATACAGCAACCAAGAGAAAAGAAACGTATGGCAGGGCTGAGTGAAAAACACATCTACAAGTCAAGTCGTTCTCTAGAGCGAGGATGTCCTTAAGTAGATAATGGAGATAAAGAGTGCTGACTGCTGCTCATGTCACTATGATTGTTGCAGATGGGATTAGATCTAGTATAATTAGATCTTCCAAAATTAAAACATCACAAGATTCCTAATTCTTGAGAGAAATTATCTGATGATTCTTGGTATTTTTTGGTATTGATTGATTTTAATTTAGCAAACATATATCCGAAAAAGTATCATATAATAATATTATTAATAATATATTATTTTCAAATTCGACTGAACTGTGCGATAATTATAACAAATAACTGTGGCATGCAAATTATATTTCCCAAAAATAAAAAATAAATATTGTTAATCTGATTAACATTTAATGAACATATCTGTATCCACAGTAATGTTCAAATCATTATGTTGATTTATTCACAATAAATACCAATGCTTTGGTTAACATCAGATGATCAATATATCAATTCCAGTGAAATCACTTATTTATTTATTTTCAGATATTGTAATACTGGTGTAAGATCCTGTCAAAATCTTTTGGGGAGGTAATTACAGATTTATTAACATGACAATATTGAATTATTGTATACTGTTACAAGACACAAGACAAGTAAATGAATTTAGTTTTTGGGTTTGACAAGATAAATATGAGGCAGCTCCCAGGTTGTAGTAGGTGTTTAAAGTCAGCTTGTTGAATACAGCTGTGTTGCTGAGTGGGCTCTTAGTTGCTTTTGAACCTTGGCATTTTATTTCTAGCTTTGTTTACTCATTCAGCTCTCCATTTAAAGAGCAGTGTTTGTGTGGGAAGATATTCTTTTACTTGGTGCAGTATTTTCTGACAGAGATTTATATCAACTCTATTGCATGCCCTTGGTTGCGTGAGGGTTGTCCTCAGATCTAAATTCAAGGGCATTTGAAATGACTACACAAGGTGAGCTTCAAGTTTCCTCTGAATGAAAAAGGCAACACTTTCACCAGTCGATTTCCTCAGAGCCTTCCCACTAAGCAAAGCCCTCGTGTGCTGGTTATTGAAGATTGGACTGTCTGCATGGGGAACAGCAAAGCGCAGTCTCATTACCAAACCAAATTGAGTTCTGATGTAGAGCCTATGTATTTCAGAGGGGTGAGGAAAAAGCCAGGCGTTTTTTCCCCCTTTGTAATTGGAGGTTGGGATGGAGCAGAGATGAGGGATTACACAAAGATGAACATTTTCTCTGGTCTTGTACCAGCGACTTTGCACAGCGCGTATCCAAAGTCTAGCAGGACACTCAGATACTGTAGTTGTTTGCTTTCCAATCAGAGCGTACACGAGTCTGCTTTGGTCGTTGTTATTCCACTACACGATTCTGGCTCTGTGTGACTCAACACAATATTGGACCGGCACAGTCTTCCATCTTTGCCACTGCCCCGGAGTTTGTGTCTCTGCAGTAGGAGCAGAGGTACAAGTACTACGCAACAGCTAACATGGTTACTTTGGTCAAGTCCAGGTAGCACGTATTCATGGTAACATGATATGGTATGTCGACAAATGTTTAAGTTTATCTAAAATGCTTGATGAGGCCAATGCTTCACTGGAAAAAAATATATTTCTAGGTAAATTAAAACGACTTAAATTAAGAACATTTTACTTTATTTGAGTAGATTCAACAACAAGTAAAAATGACCTACCAATGGAATGAGTGTGTTTTTCTTAATTTAAGCAACAATAGATTTTGTTTCTTATTTTAAGTGCAAAGAGTTGTTGTTTTTCTTAGTTTAAGTGTCACAAACTGGCAGGTAATTTTACTTGTCAAGTGAAATTTAATCAAATTATGATGAAACTTTCTTAATTCAAGTCATCTTAACTTGACTAGATTTTGTTTTTTGCAGTGTTTATGACAACTGCTGTTACTATATTATCAGGCATGCTTGTACTTCAAATACTACTAATGTTATTCAAACTATTCATCTCCATGGACATGCTGTGGTTTTCCTTGGAATGTTCCACAGTATAGCTTTATCCATCTTACACTGATTTCCTTGCACATGTTTTTTGCAAGTAAATACCTCAAAAAAACACAGATCTGATCTTTAACGTGGCCTGGTGGCAGGTGGAGTTTAATGCCATATTATGAAACATTCACGGGAATGTGAGACAAGAAGGTGGTGGACCCTGCATAAGAAAACTAATACTTATTACTATTACTACTATTACCATTTGCACTACTACTACTACTACTACTACAATTACTATTACTATTGTTACTACTTCTACCTTCACTAATACAGTTATAACAGTAGCACTTTGAATTATGAAAAATTTGATTATGAAACTTGATTGGATATTTTGTTTAACACCTAAAATGTATTTGAGTAATGGGGTTGACTATAGTATCCAGTTCCTTCTGAAATAGACCTACTGCACCTTGACTCCGGGCTGTTGAAAGAGAACATCTCCTGAGACCAGTGATTGATGGACTGACGTCAAACTGTCAGACTGCCTATAAAAGTGATACTGTGAGAATGACCATAATTGTACCCTAATCCACAGCACTATTGATTTAGAGCCCCAATAGGAAGAAGTCTGAGGAGCCCGGCGGTTATCAGGTGACGCGCTTTATAATTTATGAACACAACATTTCCTTTTCCTTCTCAACCACAAATCTCACCTTGACATCGTCTTTACATTACTGCTCTGGTCGCTGTAACATCACCTCACAGGGCTGTCACACCAACTACAGCCCTCTTGGTTTGAATGTTGTTTTGACGTTTGCCAATTCAAAGCACACTTGACCTTTTTAGTATGGACATCTCTGACATTTTGGCACCAGTCAGAATAAATGTTCATTCTCACTCAACCTTTAACTTAAGTACTTTAAAGAATACATTATTGAAATGAACAGGCAAGATTTTACACTTGAGGCAGCACTTTATATTATTATTCCTACGTTATTCTATTGATATATTGATATACTGTGTAAATGAACTGTGTTAAAGTAGGGGATGTAGGATATTCAAGATTTGATAAACTAACTTGACCTACCTGTGTCTCTGGTTATGGATCAAACATCAAATCAAATATTGATTATTCTTATACCAATTGTATTGATTTATTCACAATATATAATGTTTTACAAAAAAGATGCTTTGCCTAAAAGTAACTTGAAATTAGGGTCCAATATTTAGCTTGTATAGGAGTATAGGCCCATGTGAGATTCCCCGTTTGTTCTCAGTGCATCAGATGTGTATTTTTTAACAGAATAATGAAAATTAGGCAAAAAAGTTGTATGTATACAAATTAATTTTAATGCTCTGTGTCAACATTTCCTCTCTAGTCACAATATTTCTGGATTCTGTCTCAGTGTGGAATGAACTGCAGTTTAAAGGCTTCATTCAAACCTATGGTCTGAAAGACTGAACAATCCATGAGTCTTTGAAAGGACCCGCCAATTAAATATGCCCTTGTGGATTAAAAAGGTGAATTGAAATCAATGATACAGGATCCAATACTGTGAAATACCCTCGACACACTAAAAGATGTATTATAGAGGGCAGA